TTATTTTCACCACTAGCGTCCAATATTAATTTTGATTGATCTTAATATAATATATTAATATCAATGTTAATATAATATTTTAATATATTAATATTATATATATAAAATATATTAATGGTGAAGTAATCATTACACATATCAATTATCACAATTTCAAAATATATTTTGTAAAAGCAGATATAATTAGGGAAGCACTTCCTAAATGGGTTATTATCTTTCTTTTAGTCTTAGATTAAGGAGAACAAACAACGATTCTGCCGAGGGTGCGAATAATATCTTCGTTGACCCTTCATAATAATCGATGTCCGGGCTCGTTTGCAGCTGAGAATCGTGTTTGCGAGAATGCGGAAATTAGTTTTACGAACTCCTCGCTTCTAGAGAGTCGAAGAAAAAAAATAGAGATAGAGTAAGAGAGAAAGAGAGAGATGAAGAGAGGGATAGATCGACGATACCGATCAACTATTAATTCTTCGTGTATTTCTGATATCAGCATGTCGAAGTTTAAACACGGGTAATGAAGGTTCATGTAATCTCATCCTCATTTTCTTTGTTCTTTAGCGATAAAAAAAGGAAAATTTATTTAAAAGTTCAAACTTTAAAGTAAACACACGCAAACGTATATCTTTGCGAGAAAGAATTTTATGAGCTACAATTTTGATAATAATTATTTTTCTCGAAAAATTGATAGTTTTCGAGATAATGGCAAAAAACTAAAATTTGCTCCCATAAAAAAATCGTCCTAGATGAAATTAAGGGGACTTTTCAGAATTTCATCGAAATAAAGGTCTTCACAAAAATTCAGCTTGGTCCTAATTTTTATGACGTCAAAGTCTAATTTTACTGGACTATCTGGAGTCGTGAAACATTCATTACACAAACAAAATTGTAATCAATCATCGACGATTGCATATATACAATTTTCGAAAAATTTTTTTATTATTGATTCGTAAATATTGATATTAATTATATACACCGCAAACATTATATTGACATTCGAAAATTTGAAATCACAAAAATGGGTATAAATTCTCGTCTGCTCTCTTTTAAATGGAATTGTATGTATGACTTTCATCATTTATATTCATACAAATGCGATAAAACTCACCTTTTTATCATATGTTTAGTTCGTTGAAATATAGGATAATAAAGTCATATCACTATTATTTGCATCTTATTGTCAGTTGTTCGCTTCGATCATAATTCTTTTTGACGTTTCAACCATACATATTCTTTTAATAGTCGGTTGTATTCGTACGCGGAAACGTATATAAATGCACTTTTCTCTCAGGCGACGTGTAACGCAAAAACTCTCGACCATCATCAGACTGACCTGTATTTCGCGTGAAAATAAGAGCAGAAAATAATTCCAGCTCAAGAGAGAAAGAGAAGCTTTATAAATAGATGAAACACCGCGACTCGATAGACATCATAAACGATTTACCAATAAACGCTAGCGCGTTTATTCGCATGCTTTCACCGCTCATTCCATTAAGTCATCTACTTAAAAGTCATTTCAATAAAAAAAAATTATGAACATAACATAAAAATACTAACATTTTTTATTCATTTATTTCAAGCAATTAAATATAAAGTACTAGAAAATATATACAGAGTGTTTCTAAATAAATGCACAAAATTTTAGATGATTCTTTGTCAAAAATTAAGGAGAGTTTTTTATATAAAAATATATACTCTTGTATTCTTCCTTAAAATTTATACTCCTCCAAGAAAAATTAAAAAGATTTTATTTTTTTCCCAAATTTGGACAAGTTAAAATAAAATTTTGATTATTATTTTCTATTAATAAAATGGAATCTAATTATATTTTTTTATATGGCGATGAAACTAGCAATCCTTATTCAATTTTTTTCGGATCGGAATGTGATCATCTTAATCTAATAAAAATTGCGTTAGAAAGCTTCCTAGCTTATTTAATTGTTTATTTTTCTATAAAATCAATAATTTGTAAGAAAAAAATTAAATACATTATCATAGGCAAAATGATTAAATGACATAGGTTTCGAATTACAACTTTAACAATCCTTATTTAACTTTAATTAAAACTTTTTAGCGGATCGGAGTATAATCATCTAAAACTATGCACCAGAAAGCTTGATTCTTTCAGAAACTTTTTTATTTTTTTTATTTTTATTTTGTAAAATCAAGTGTTTTCAAGAAAAAAAAATAAAAACCTAATTTTTACTTCTTCCTTTAAAGGAATATAGAAGTATATATATTTATGTAAAAAACCCTCTTAATTTTCGAGAAAGAAAAATCATTTAAAATTTATTGCTTATTTAAAAACATTCGTATATATTATTCATCATGATATTTTGTCATGATATTTGGTCAAATTATTTTCAGCACTATTCTTTCTTTAACCAGAATATTCTTGGCACTATTGTGTGCGTAAGGAAATGAATGGAATGGCTGGTGCTTATTTCGTGCAGTATTGCAGGCCGATTCTAGCTGCATATGCGTCTGCTTTGGCATTTATGGGGGCATTTATATTGGCTGGCGATTATATAGTGGTGTATAGTAGCAGGAGTAGTTAGGGGTGCGATACTATCGGCGGAGGCGCCTCCAATCATTTCCCAATTAGCAGCTGATTGCGTACAGTCCCCGGTAGAACTTGGAGCATAGCTATAGCTCCGGCTAACTGAGAATTCTCGCAAGTGGGAGCGAGAGAAGGGTGGGAAGAAGAGAAAGGACGAGATGGGGTTGAAAAGGAGGAAGGGATGGAAGGCGATTTGCAACGTTAATATCCAACGATGCGTAACCGCTCGAGCACAATATCGGTGATCGCGCAAATTGCGATCGCCAATACCGATCTTTATATACACGGATTCGATGCGAGGGATAATATAATGGTGTCATTAAAGATAGCGCCGCCATTCTATGCTCGTATTGTTATTGGAAAATCGTCCGGCGCCGCCATCCTTGAGACTCATTTTTATGATCCGCCGCTGATCTCCGCTTTTATAGTCGCGGATGATGGATTTTTCGTTGAAGTTTTCATTTTTTGCGGGTGTACATAGCTGATTGCTGATTCGAATGATGTGAAAATTAAAAAAAAATGTTATTAGTTCGGGTATAATTTAATTAATAGCGTTAAGAGATAATTAATAAGAAGATATTGAAAATAAAAATATTTAAACGGTATAATATAATAGACAGGGCAAAATTATTTTTATAGCTGTACTTTGGATAGATTTTTTTATCGTGACTCACGAATATATTCATATTTCATAGTCACGTTCTAGCACACTTCATATAGTCATCGAAAATTGTTTTCATTTTCTGGCAAATTCAATTAAACAAACCCAAATTCCTCCACATGGAGACAAACTATCTATGCTAAAAAAATTGATGTCGAGCGACCTTTGCAAATATCAGTTTCACGATTTGATTAATCTTGAATCTCTTGTTAACTGCGATCTCGTCGATTTAATTCCTTTTTTCCCCGTCGACGCCGGACTGAATCGCAAATCAAATTCTGCCAAAAATATACGTTGCTTAAAAAATAGCAGGGAATGGAGGAATAGAAAAACTCGATTAATCCGTTCACTGTATCATCGAGGATAGGAAACGTGTACCATTTATATAACAATTTCGATCCATCGACATGTCATTAAACTGTCTAGACTTTTCCAAAATATCTCTGCCTATTTTCTACAATTTGTTATTTATACTTTCTCCAAAAGATTCGATCTATTTATCTCCTCTCTATCGATTCTAACGTATGTATGTGTATGTGTAAAGATAACAGAGACTCTGCAATAGCAGCATTTCGGATACAATAAATACTAATAGTTGCTTCGCACGCATACGGAAGTTTACGTTCGTCCGTCCTACAACATTGGAAGGGAAAAACAACCCTAATAGCTGCGTCGCGACTAACTAACGTCGGCACTTTGTGCGTTCACGCTCGATTGGGACGCGGCTTCGTGCCGTTAGTCACACATCAGGAAGAAAAATAGACTAATGGCCCCGAGGGGTTAAAATGCCGAAAGTGGTACAACGGTGCCATCCGAAAGGCGCTAACGACGACCCTCTCTCGTTAACGTCCATTGTGTTTTAGGCGGATTAGTCGTCCATTTGTTTCGCCGTTCTCTCCTTTTCCGTTTTAATCCTATACGTACAATTGCCGAGTATATATTCTTTCGTCGCCTCCGATTAAACAGATCCTAAACGCCGTCCTGTTTTTTTATCGATGAAACGTCATTTTGCGCACGCTTTTCTTTTTATTGCTTTAATGGAATAATAAATGCTTTTCCACGATTAAAGTACATATAGAAATAAAGTACAGATCTACCGATTTTATGTTGAAAACGGAAAATTTTTTAAATTAAAAAATTAAAAATTTGATTTGTTCTTTCATCGATAAAACAGGACGACATTTAGGATTCCTTTAAATGCGTTTTATTGTTTTTGACGTCGATCATTTTTTAGTTGTCCATTTGTTTCGTCTCATCCTCCTTTTCCTTTTTTGTTTTAATCCTATACAATTGTCGAGTATATATTCTTTTGTCGTTTCCGATTAAACAGATCCTAAACGCCGTCCTGTTTTTTTATCGATAAAACATTATATTTGCGCACGCTTTTCTTTTTATTGCTTTAATAGAATAATAAATGCTTTTCCACGATTAAAGTACATATAGAAATAAAGTACAGATCTACCGATTTTATGTTGAAAACAGAAAATTTTTTTAAATTAAAAAATTAAAAATTTGATTTGTTCTTTCATTGATAAAACATCATTTTTGTGCACCGTTTTCTTTTTATTAATTGAATAGAATAATTAATGCTTTTCCACAATTGAAGTACATATAGAAACAAAGTGCGGACCTACCGATTTTATGTTAAAAACAAAAAAAATATTTTTAAATTAAGAAATTAAAACTTTTTTAAAGATAAAACAGGTCGGCGTTTAGGATTCTTTTAAATGTGTTTTATCGTTTTTGATAATTAATTCGTAATTTTTTTCTCGCGTGTTGCAGAGCTTGGCGACCTAGCTATCGCGGCTCGTCATTCCTCGGGGACCGATAGCGACGGCGACGACGACGATGAAGAATCGTTCGAACGCAAAGTCCACCATGTGCCAACGCGAATGCAGCTGGCGGAACAACCCGGATCCCGGGGCGAATTATTCAGACAACTTGGAGAACACCGTTTCAAGACGGCGGCACATCACGCTCAAACGCTTTCGGTCGTCGCCCGATGGTGTCGTGCTAAGAGACAACAGTGTATTGACGATACTGATTCGAGCGTGTGCCTGATCGCGTTGACTTGACAAGGGTATAGTGATACGGCACTGAATTTTTTTACAGGTAATCAGAGGGATAAGTGGTTGTGTGAATTTTGATTGAGTTTGGAATGTTGGGATGTGAGTGATGCAATTTGTATTTTGGATCGAGAGAATACGAGGCTTCACATGTACATGCTTGACGCGTTTCCCAGAGATTTGATTAGATTAGGAAATATTTAATGCGCTTAAAAAAACAAGAAACAAATCTGTTTATTATCGAAAAATTTGATTGTTAATTTTTCTTATATTATACAAGATGTATCTAAATAAATGCGAAAAATTTTAGAAGATTTTAGATGATTCTTTGTCGAAAATTATAAGGGAGGTTTCTTATACAAACACTTATATCCCTCTGAGGAAATACATTTTTTTAAAGAAGGAGGTGAAAATTAAGTTTTTATTTTTTTTCAAATTTCAGAAAAATTAAAAAATAAAACTTGATGGATATTTTTTATTAATAAAAAGGATATCTATTAATATTTAAAAAAAAATCAAAACTTAATTTTTACCTTCCTCTTTAGAAAAGTGAATTCCTCAGGGAGGGATATAAGAGTAAATGTTTAAGAAATCCCATTTAATTTTCGACAAAGAATCATTTCCTAGAATTTTTCGCACTTATTTAAATACACCCTGTATAAATGTATTATTAATGTAACGATTTATACATGTATATGTTATTCATCGACATGCTTAATAATTTAGATCTTATTTCAGAAGCTTCTAAACACAATTCATATTTTTATTATATCATTCTTTAATACAAATACAATATTTACAATATAACTACTTTTTTCAATCAAAATTTCTCTATATATAATTTATTTTCTCGTTTATGATGCGTATCGTACGTTGCATTTATTATGGAAATTAATTTTTGCTCTCGCTTATATTTTATTTAAAGTATTTTTGCGAATGTACGAAAAATGAAAGATTATTATGCGGTGGAGAACAAAATATTTTTAAACGTCGAATTGAATTAATATACCGCGGCGACACGTAAAATTAAAGTAAATACGGGCAAAAAGCAAACAAGAATAAATATGAAACATTACAAATTCGCGTCGGTCAAGCACGCGTTTTCGCGTGCTACAAACGCATTACGCGAACGAAGATACTCTTACGTATTTATATTTGTCTCTCCTGACATTTTGTTTCCGCGATCTCATGCAAATTACACAAATTATCGCAATTCCCCTAAGAATCTTCGCCGTGTAATAGCGAATATCCAAGCAATCTCGGGAAATATAGCGAGAATAATAAACGAACAAAAAAAGAAATAAATGCGCGGAGATGTTTTTCGCCTCTCTCATTTTATCTGCACGCATCAATTTATATAAATTATGCATTTCTGGTCTCTCTTTTTCTTTCTCTCTTTTAAAATAGATTCTAATAAAAATATTTTATATATTTTCATTTTTTAATATTACTTTATATATATATTTTTATATATGTGTATATATTTTTTTATATATTTCTTTCACTTAATCAAGAAAATCTTTTGCGTAAAAAAGATGCATATACAATATTTTGATATTTTTATTTGTGGTAATTTGATTTTACAAAACATGCAATATATCTATCTCTTTTTGCTGGACAGAATGATTTCAAGAAAAAAAATTTGGGAATAATTCATAATGTCAGTCAAATATCGCTTCCGGATTTTAAAGCAAAATCGAAGCAATCCTGTACAATAAATTTATCGAACGTTATATAAATTTGACAGAAATGCAGATATGAGAAAAAAAAAAAGAGAGAGTGAGAGGACCGGAGGAAAGCCGTCCAACAAAGTAGAAAAAAAGTCGATTTTCCGTCGACTTGGACACGCGTCATCGCGTGTCTCGAACAAATTAGCGATCCCTGACTCCGCGCTATGGCTGATTTATTCGTCGCGGTATGCATCGTTCAACGAATTATCTCCGTCCTCGTCTGGCACGTTCAAGCCAAGAGGAATTGAATATGTGCAAAAATCCGGGAACAGCGCGTAAAAGTTTCATAGACGGAAGGGCTTTAATCAATTCTCCTCTCAGCGTTAATAGAAAGCAACTTTGGTATAAAGTAACTTCCATCCGCGCTAATTTAAATTAATAGGAGCCTCGAGTGCGCTACAAACTATTGAATGCAGTATTGCATTTATTGATTTTAAAAGGTGATTGAAAGGAGAATAAATACTACTCCTATTTACTAATTGTATCTAGTGTCAAAGTGTAACGTTAATTTCGCTAAATGTCAATTTAATTTGTTTATGGTTCATTAATTGTCTTTTTCATTTTACGAAATGCCAATTACACTAGATTATAAAAAAAATATTCTTTCTTTTTTCATTTTTTGAAATAAAAAATAAAGATTTTTTTATAGATTTTGGATGTTAAAAACAATGCCGATTTTCATCAATATATCAGGTCTCCGAAATTAAGATATTTAATATGCAAAACATGACTTTTTTGGGATATTTCGATTTTTGTAAAAAAAGTTAACATTATTTTAAAATTCTGATCAAAAGTCATAAATGTATTCTTTATTTCTTATAAAATGCATTTTTTGTTTCGACATCTTACTTTTTAGATATATTATTACAGGAAGGATTTAAATACAGAGTTTTGCTGAAATAGCAAATATTCCGTCTATGATGATAAAGTTTTATAATCATAATTTGTAGTTTAGGGTTATCGATACAAAAGTGTAGCTTTTTGTAATAAATTTCACTAAATGTATATTTATATATAGGACATCTCATTGTAAGTCCATCTTGAATTTTTCGAAACAAATTGCATTTTCGAAAAAATGTTCCCGTTAAAAATTTTATAATTTCTGAAGGAAAACGAATAATGATAAAATGAATTTTGGAAAAAAGAATTACTTTTTTCAAAAAATCAGGGGCATCTCCATATGAGAAATAGTTCTCAGCTTTAATCTTTTATAACATGAGTAAAAAATAAGATATTGAAATAAAAAAAAATGAATTTTATAAGGGTTGATCAATATATTCATGATATTTGATCAGATTTCCGCATAACGTTAACCTTTTACAATAAAAACTTCACATATCGCAAAAGAGTTATTTTTTACATATTAAACTTTAATTATTTTGGAAATCGGACGTGCTGGTAAAATTTAGTTGCAGCATCGTTTTTAGAGCATCCAAAAATCTTAAGAAACACTTTAGTCCAGTAAAATTAAACTTGAAAAGGACAAAACTTCATAAAAATTAGAACGAAGTTGAATTTTTGTAGAGACCTTTATTTCGATGTTCTAATAAAATCCTGAAGAATATTTTTTATGAGGGATAAAAGGAGGTAAATTTTAGTCTTTTGTCATTATCTCGAAAACTGTCAAGTTTTCGAGAAAAATAGTTATTATCAAAAATGTAGCTCATAAAATTCCCTACAAAAAAGATCTGTATACTTTTTTTGTGGAATTAACCGTTTCAAAGATATAGAGCAAATTAAGTCTGAGAAAATATGCACACTACTATACAGTACTATATATGAGACTAATAAATCCTAATTTTTATGAAGTCAAAGCCTAATTTTACTGGACTACTTGGTGTGAAATAATTTTCGACTATAAATTAATATTATCATTTTCGAGCTTCAGCCGAGACATAATATAGACAAAGGGTAACGAGACTAACGCGCTAACGACGCCAACGTTAATTACCACCCTCAAATAGACCGCCTAATCGGCGAGCGAATGGACGCACTAATTACGCGCCCTCCTGATAATAATTGAGCGAATCCCAATTTAGAATCGACGGAGAAATTGGCGGAGCCAGAGAGTGAATCTCTCGTTCATCATTCGTTGGATATTCGCAAAATACACAGTTTCGTACATTTTGTATCCGTCACACGGATTTCGCATAGATCTCTCCTCGATTCATCAATACACGGCCATTAAATTAAAAGCGAGGGATTTATCGTTTTGTGTTAATAATATTGTCAATAACGCGCAGCAACTGTGACATATTTTTAAGTTATAATTCCATTGTTATTGATTTATCTCATTATTTACTTAATCTGTGTCTGTTTTTAAAATCTCAAATATATATCGACAGCGATTAATGGAATGAAATTCGCAGGTCGAGGAATAACATGGATTTAATCTTGCACGGGATTAAATGTGCACGAATGTTCAGTTTATTGACTATTTGGATAATATAGAATTTGTGTAATGCGTGATATGTACTAGCTATTTCATTTTACCGCGTTACGTGATGAGTACGGCTGAAACTGGGGTTGCATACATCTCATTTTATATACACCAGGGAAAACGTTGCATCACATACACTTACACACACACACACACACACACATACATACATACATGCAGGTACACACGAAAAGTTTTGTTACAAAGCTTTTGTATAAAATATAGCAAAGTGAGCGACAAATGTGAAAGTGCACTAGTTATAATCTAAATAAACCATTTATCAAGAATTTTGAAATAGCATTTTATATAGCGCTTATGTCGACAAATGACATAAACAAATATCATTGGCCTAAATAAGGAGCGAGATGCAACGCTTTTTATGTGTGTATACTTGTGATAGATGTAATTGCGTTTGCAATTATTTTTTCCTTTTTCATGAATACAGTTAAAAGAATTTGTACAAGAAAATGCAAATATATATATATATACGTATTCAGGGTGTAACTGAAAAAAGGTGAAATTCATCATTTTTTACAAGTTCGCAATTTTTGCCGTCGTAGATCTGTATAATTAAGTCTTCAAATTTTATTAAAAGTAAACTTTACATGAAATTAAGTGAAAAAATGAAGTTTTGTTAATATTTTAAAATTTAGTTTGCGAGAAACCCATCTTTTTCAATCATTTATAAATAAAAAATTATTGATGCCTCAACATTTTCCCTGAGGAAAAATCATCTCCAAATTGACTAGAGAATTCGATGATATGCTCTAGATATTTTTTCAGTTACATTCTGCATATACAATATAATATATATACAGCGTAATTCTAAATGAGTATGACAAATTTTAGGATATAATTCTTTCGTCGAAAGTTAAAGGGAGGTTTTTCATATCTTTCCCTGGAAAATTTCAATTTTCTAAAGAAAGTGAAAATTAGGTTTTAATTTTTTCTCAAGTTTTGTCTTTGTTCCATTTTTTTCAACATTTACTATAATTTTGTTTCGCTTGTTTTTTTATTCTAAAATTCAACTTCCCGTAATTTGAAACTTATGCCATTTAGCAATGTATTTTAATTTTTATCATGCAAACTTTTACAAAAAAAGAAAGAAGAAATGAAAAAATGTTTA